AAAAAAAAAAAGATGAAAGGCTAGAGAGAAAAATCTGATGACAGATGAGCCAGGGCTATCAAAAGTCTGACATCAAGTGCTGGTGAGGACGTGGAACCTGAGGAGCCCCACACGCTGCTGTCTGGGGCGTACGTTGGTATAAATGCTTTGGAGGGCAAATTGGCAATATACCAAAAAGGCAAAGACATGTATCTGATGTCCCAGCAATTAAGCCTGCACAGGTGCCCCAAGAGATGTTTGCGAAAATATTTATAGAAGCATTGTTTGTAAGAGCAAAAAGTAAAAAATAACCCAAATTTCCTGAATGTAATGCATTTATATATTCGAATATCATATTACACGGCAGTTAAAGTAGATTAACTAGAGCTATGCATATCTCATGGATGAATCTCACTAATAAATACTGAGCAAAAAAGAGCAAATTGCAGAAGAATATATACAGCGGGTGGGGCAAAATCATGACATATTGCTTAGGATACATATACAAGTATATGTATAAAGAGTATAAAGAATATGGTCATGATAAATACCAAATTCAGGAGGGAGAAGGGGAGGAACACAGGAAGCTTCGATCGTATTGGTAATTTAACTTGATTTACTAGGTGGTAAATAAAAAGTATTGGTGGCTGGGCATTGGTGGCTCATGCCTATAATCCCAGCACTTTGGGAGGCTGAGGTGGGTGGATCACTTGAGGCCAGGAGTTCAAGACCAGCCTGAGCAACATAGGAAGACCCCATCTGTAAAAAAAAAAAAAGAGAAAAGTTAGCTGGGTGTGGTGGCATGTGCCTGTAGTCCCAGCTACTCAGGAGGCTGAGACAGGAGGATCGCTTCAGCCCAGGGATTCAAGGTTACAATGAGCTATGATCAGGCCATTGTACTCTAGCCTAGGTGACAGAGCAAGACCCTGTCTCTAAAAAAAAAAAAGAAAAAAAAATTAAAACATTAGTTATATTATTCTTTACAACTTCTACATGTTTGAAATATAACTTTTTAAAAGAGGCAGTACTTGAGAACACTCACATAAAGGAGACTGAGAAGCTGGGGCCCTACTTGGGAGATTCAGGGCTGCCTTTGCCATCCCCTGGGACACAGAAGCCAGGATCAATTAGCTGAAGACTCTGACATCTGCTACGCTGGAAGGAGAGACCCAGGAGGGTGAAGCCTCTTGCGTTCAGGGGGAGGAGAGGAAGGACGGGCCCTTTCATGGCTCCCTGCTGTGCTCTGAACACAGTTACTAGCCTGCACCCCAGCCCCCGGCTGCACAGACGCCGGTGGAGGACACAGCCGGGCAGCCCCGGGGTGCAGAGCAGGGCGGGGGCCACGCGCACGGGCCGTGCCGCCTGCGTCCCGCACACACGCCGCCAGGCTGCCGCCCCCACGGTGCACGCACTTCCGCGCCAGCGACCCGGCACGGCGCCCTGGCAGTTTGCAGCGCCGTCACTCACGCCCCCGCCCGCTCCGAGCAGGACCCCAGAACTGCAGCCGCGGCCCTGCCAGCCCTCCCCCTGCCCTGGGGCTGGCTTCTCCGGCTGGAGCCTCGCTCCTCCTCTGCAGCCTCGGGAAACCGGCGCCTGCCGCGCTGCTGCTGCACCTCGTTTCTTTCCTGCCTCTCTTCCTCCCGCCGAGACCCTCGCGTGAGAAGCGGAGCGGCAACCCCGACCCGAGGCTGGCAGGAAGAAGCAGGGGGACGCAGGGGAAGCCCCCTCAGACGCCCCCAGCCCCCTCGTCCCCGCAGGGGCCATGAGCGCGAGGCGGGAGGCCAGGAGAGACGAGGGGGACGCCGGGAGGACGGGACAGCAGGCAGAGCTTCGGGACCGAGCCCACCTGGGCCAGCAGCGCCGGCTCAAACAGGCCACCCAGTTCCTGCACAAGGACTCGGCGGACCTGCTCCCGCTGGACAGCCTCAAGAGGCTCGGCACCTCCAAGGACTTGGTGAGGCTGCCCTCGCCCCTGCCCAGCCGGGAAGTCCCTTTTTCTCTGCTCCCCAGATCCTGAGGTCAGGGTGGGAGGGCCGTGCAGCGTGGACCCGCAGCCTTGGGGTCCCCTCCCTCGCTGAGACGGGGAGAGATGGTCCTGCCAACCCGAGGGCTTAACCCGGCCACTCTCGGGCTCCTCGCGGGCATGTCCCCGTGGCTGGGTAGCTCTGAGCGACGCTGTCCTCACTGCTCAGCTTCCCCCACCTTTCCCGCTGGTAGCCCGAGGCCTGGGTGGTGAGCAGCCGTGCTGTGTAGGAGCAGGGCTCACAGGGACCCAGGGACCCTCTGGAGCAGTGGACTAAGACCGGAAGGGCCTGGCCAGTTCGGGGCTGTGACTTCCCTGCTCTCCCCGATTCCCTCATACCAGGGCTGTTCATTCGTGGGCCCTTCCCCTCAGAGTCAGAGCATCGAGGGGCTCCATTCTTTTCAGGGCGTCGGGGCTCCACGTGGCTCTCCCCGCACCCCCATCTCCATGAGTGTGCCCGCCCTCCTTCCTAGGCGGAATGGCCCTGCCAGGCTCCTTTCCTCCCTTCCACCTGGCAGCAGCTTTGCCTCCAGAGCAGGGTGGGCCAGGGCACAGCTGCACATACAGGCCTTGGTCCCCTCCGAGAGCCGGGGGTTAAGAGCAGGGCCTTTGGAGCCACTGGCTTGAGATGAGATCCTGGCTCTGCCACTTGCTAACTTGGGCAAGTTATTTTATGTCTCCGTGCCTCAGTTTCTTCACCTGTTAAACGAGGACAAAATTAAGAGTGTCTACCTTGTAGGGTTGTTGGGAGAGTTTACATGGGCTAATACATACAAAGCACTTAGAACAGTGCCTGGCTACCAGACGGCGCCATCTAAAATGCCATTGTTATCCCTCCAGCTAGTACTCCATTTAGCCTGAGAGATGAAGTAAGATCCGCAGGATTCAGAAAATATGCAATACATCTGGCCTCTGAGCCAGAGAAGAGAGGAAAGCCTTTGTAGAAGGGCTTGGGAGCACCCTGGTCCCGCGCTCCTCTTCTGGTCGGAGGCTCTAAGAAGAGGTGCTCGGCAGGGCGCCCTGAGAGATATGAGGCATGTCTGCTGGACTGAGGCCACCCCAGCAGCTGCTTCTGCCCCAGGAACCTGGGGGCCAAGGCAGCCCCTCATTGCCTCTCCCGACCTAGCCCTACCTTTCCAGACCCCTCCCAGCCTGGGTTACCCCTCTAGAAACCCAGCCAGGAGGCTGGGCAATCCCTTAGCCACATCCCAGCAGCCCCCAAAGGGGAAAAGTGAGTGGTCTGAGGACTTCAATTCAGAGAACTGCCAGGGGCTTGTTCCTCCTTGCAGACACAGCAAGCACAGCTGAGAAACAGGGATGGAATAGGGAAGCAGATTCTTTGGCTCCACTGGCTAGAACCCTATAGCCTCTATATCTGCTGGGGACCATCCTACGCCCGTGTGGCCCAGGAGAAGATGCTCTATAAACACTGCCATCCCAGAGTGGCAGGCTCAGCCTTCTGATGAGAAAGACCTGAGCTTCCCACCTCTTCCCTGCACCTTGGGGTCTCCCAAATGGATCTCTGGCACCTACTGTGGCTTTGGGAGCAAAGATACAACTGTTAGGGAGAACCCCATTGTCTCCCTCCCCAGGATAGCTCTGGAGCAAACTGCGCAACCGTGGGAGAGCCCTGAAGCCTGTGTCCACCGTGGGAAAGGTGGAAGGACATGGGAACCGCAGAGCCCTGCCTTCTGGCCAGTCCCAGGGCTCTCCTCTTTCCCAGCGCGGGCCTCTTGCTGGCATGGCAGCCTTGCTGCCGAGCAACCTCAAGGGCCTCACTGAGCCAAGAGTCTAAAAACAATCCCAGGCTCCCAGGGAGGGAGGGCAGGTGGAGCCTGGGGGACACGGTCATTGCACAGCAAGCATTTATTGAGTGCCGACTATATGTTGAGCCATGCCCTAGGATATAGAGATGAATGAGATACAGACCTCAGGGGCTCTCGGGGTTGATGGAGGAGTGAAATCCATAAATAATATTTGTGACAGGCCAGGCCGGTGGCTCACGTGTGTAATCCTAGCACTTTGAGGGGCCGAAGTAGGAGAACCAGGAGTTTGTTTGCCACAGCAACGTATCAAGACCCTGTCTCTACAACAAATTAGCCAGGCGTGGTGGTGCAAACCTGTAGTCCTGGCTACTCGGGAGGCTGAGGCAGGAGGATCACTTGAGCCCAGGAGTTTGATTGCATCACTGTACTCCAGCCTGGGCGACAGAACGAGATCGTGTCTCTAATAACAAAAACAAAACAAAACAAAATTTGTGAGAAGCATGGCCAGGGGAGATACAAGAAGGGCTCCCAGCCCGGTGTGCGGGGCAGGGGCATGAAGAGGTCCGAGAGGGGAGGCTGGAAGAGGTAAATCCTGCACTAATTACAGGATGCACATGGAATCCCAAACTTAAAATAAAAACCTCTCTCCCTAACGAAGCGTGTAAAGCCAGCCATCCAGCTGGCCTTGGGAAGAGTCACAGAAGGAGAGGGAATGGGGCAAAGGCACAGAGGCAAAAATCAGCCTGGTAGGAGCGGTGTTGCTGGGGCCAATGTGGGGGGACGGGAGGCAGCGGCTGGGTCACCTGGGCCATGGACCACCTTCAAAACTTTGGGCTCTATCCTGTAAGCAATTGAGGGGGGCTGGGGGGATCCTCGATACATTTAAAGCAGGGAAGTAACATGGTTAGTTTGTTTTACTTTGGTGCTTCTCAAACTTTAATGTGTACACAAACTACCTGGCGGTCTCGTCAGAATGAAACTTCTGATTCGGTAGGTCTGAGATTCTGCGTTTTTAACAGCTTCGAAGTGATGTTAAAGCTGCTGATCTGAGCATCGCCCTTTCGAGTAGCAAAGGTTTTAGATAAGCTAGTCTGAGGCTTCCAGTAGGTGTATTTGGAAAACAACAGGCCTGGAGGCAGGTTCCGAAGAATTTAGGAGGGTGTTCCAGTGATCAGGAAGCTGCGGGGAGGCTGGGACAGAGGCAGGAACAGGAAGGAGGGATGAACTCCATAAAGACAGGAGGCAAAACTGGCAGAATCTAGGAAGCGACTGGACGGGGTGGGGTGGTTGTGGATAGAGAGGTCAAGGACGACTCCTGGCACCCTAGTTCTGAAGACTTTGTTACTTCTTTTCATCGTACCATCAACCCTGGGATCTGCAGCCCATTGAAGGATGAGGTCAGAGGGGAAGAAAAAAAAAACCTCTTAGTAAATAAAAAAGTGATATAGGTTTGAGATAAAATTTCCCCTAATCATAATACTAGTTCTTGAAATATCTGTTCAGCCAATAGGTCTAACCTAGAATGGACCGTTCTCCTCCTCCCGTTTCTTTCTTTCCTTCTTTCTTTTTTGAGACAGGGACTCGCTCTGTTGCCCGGGCTAGAGTGCCGCGGCGTCAGCCTAGCTCACAGCAACCTCAAACTCCTGGGCTCAAGCGATCCTCCTGCCTCAGCCTCCTGAGTAGCTGGAACTACAGGCATGCGCCACCATGCCCGGCTAATTTTTTCTATTTTTAGTAGAAACAGGGTCTCACTCTTGTTCAGACTCGTCTCAAACTCCTGAGCTCAAGCGATCCTCCCGCCTCAGCCTCCCAGAGTGCTAGGATTACAAGCGTGACTCTTCCCCTTTCTTTATTGCTGAGCAATCTATTGGAGTCCCAGAAAAATGGCATGATCTGATATTGGGGCTCACTGCTTTAATTATCTGACTGGTGGGATCCTTGGCTAAGCTTCTGCCACTTTCTCACTGAGACTCAGGTCTGGGGGGTCTCGGGAGGGCATCCTGGGATAGCTAAGGCGGGGACCGAGTGGCCTGGATACCTGGGTTTAGACTTGCCTGCCTTCATGTTTTGTGATGGAGCCAGCAGCCACACAGCGTGATCCAGAGACGCCTGGTGGAGGGAAACCAGAGTCGGCTTCTGGGGGAGTCTCCCCTGGTGCAAGCCCTGGCTCATGGCCAGGAAAGCAGGAAGCCCAGCAGGGCAGAGATCCCAGCTCTTCTGGTCAACTGCAAGGTAAGAGGACTCCTAGGCAGCGACTTTCATCAACAGCCCTACCCTGCAGCTGGCTCCTTTCTGTCCTGACTGGTAAGGGAGGGAGGAAAGAGAAAAGGCACCGTCCCCATAGCCTGGACCTAAATATGGGGACCTCTATCTTCTTTCCTCCCTGCCTCACCCCATCTTCCATCTGTGCAGTTCCATCAGTCACCATCATTACTCTACCCCCTTTCCTTGATCAAAGTATAATATTTAAATGTGAATACCTAAATACTCTTCAGTGTGCTCTACATATACAAATGGCGTGTGCATGTATGGACAATGCAACTCTCTTGGAATAAGCTTATGCGCGCCAAGGCGACAGCCTTGTCATCTCTGGAGCCACTTAACTGCCCAGTCCCTACTGAACCATTCCCAGTAAATGCCCACTGGTCCTCTGCTGCCATCTTTGCCCAGCATTTCTTCTGTCTGGATGGCTCTCTTCTTGCTTTCCAACCATTCTATGTCCACATTCTTCTATAATTTTTTAAGGCCCAGCTCAGATGTTACCTCCTCCTTGAAACCTTTTCTGATTTCCCCAGTCAGAAACAGCCTTTCCTCCCTCTCAACCTCTAGGCACTTTGCTCACATCCTCTTACAGACCTTAAAACTTTCTACCGTACAGTAGTAACATCTTACCTCCTTTAGACTCCTGAAGAACAGCATTCATTGACGTGCCTTCCAGTGATATATCTCATGCACAGTAGGTGTCCAATAAATGTTTGGAATGAGAAAACTTGGGGTGTGTGTGTATCTTCACATGTACACCAAAATGTTCATACATACCCCAAAGAAAGTGAACTTGTCTTCCTTGGTTTCCAGCGGTGGACCTCTTGGTTATTCACGTCTGAGCTTCCCAGCAAGGGATCCCAGTCTTCTCATCCCTCCTCTATTCCCAACCTGGAGTTCTCCAGCCAGGAGGCCTCAGCCTCCCAAGGATTCCTCTAAACAAACATCTCCATTTCTGGCCAGATTTTTCCCAAACTTATGGACTCACCATATATAGTTCCACTTCCTGGTTTGATTCCTTTACCTGAGAGTCAATTTTGCCTCACGCGTAAGAATCGTACAAAAATCAGTTTTAATGACCCAGTTTATTTCACTCTGCGAAGAACAAGGAAACAAACAAGCAAAGACTCGGTTTATCCCCTCCGCTCATTCCTAGAAGGGAACCCATCGAAGGGCTAGGAAAATTGAAGGACCCAACCCCAGTCCCTCCTCCTGGGCACTCATGATCCACCACGATCCCTCTTCCTCAGTGCCGGGACCAGCTGCTCAGAGTGGCCGTGGACACAGGCACCCAGCACAATCAGATCTCCGCGGGCTGCCTCAGCCGCCTGGGGTAAGAGTGTGGCCCAAACACGTGGATGGCGTGGGGGAGGGGCGCACAGCTCTGTGAATATACTAAAACCCACCGAATTGGACACTCTAAAAAAGTGAATCTTAGGGTATATATTTCAATAAAGCTGTTATTTAAGAAAAGAGCGGCTAGGAGACTCTGGCAGAGAAGACAAGGATTCAGCCCTGCGGAGGTATCGGAGGAGAACCCGAAGTACAGTAGACGGGGACATTAGCTGATTAATGGGAGTGGGTGAGCTGGTGGGGGCACTGGTGGCCATAACCCTTGCTTCCCAACCACAGGTTAGGGAAGAGGGTCCTAGAAGTCCCAGCTGGGGACCTGGCACCTGAGCCCCCAACCCAGGTGGAGCAGCTGGAGCTACAGCTAGGGCAGGAGACCGTGGCATGCTCAGCGCAGGTGGTGGGTAAGTCCTCCCTCCTCGATGGCCCAGCTTCTCACCTCTTCTGCCTTTCTCTTCTGGGTGGGGCAGAGGCAGAGACGTTTAGCCCTTGCCAGCACAAGGTGCCCTAGAGACGCTCTGGTTATCCCCAACTCTGTGCCAACATCCTCAGAGCTGGGGCGCGGGGGATGTGGGGGCAGAGAAGGGGTGAGGGCTGAGAGGAGGGCAGCAGTGATCACTGGGCGCCTTCAGTCCCTTCTGTTTTCAAACGGTTCCTGCAGATGTCGAGAGTCCTGAATTCTGTCTGGGGCTGCAGACCCTGCTCTCTCTCAAGGTAAGGCGCCCACACTCGGGGCCTGACCCAGGGTGCTGGGAAAAAGAGGGAGAAGGCGCAGGTGTGGAAGCACGGACCGGGTTCTGAGAGACTTGGAGATGTGCAAGTCTCTTCGGTTCCTTAGAGGTTCCTTAGTTACCCGTAAGCGAAAAATCCAGAGAACCGAGTCCCCCCTGTGGGGTCCAGGTAAATGGGAATGGGGGTGGAGCAAAGAGCAGGTGGAAGCTGTGGTTAGTGGGGGGGACAAAAAAGAGCGGGCAGGGAGACAGGTGACCGGCTGAGGTGACCTCACGCTACCTGCCCCACGCTCCACAGTGCTGCATCGACCTGGAACGCGGAGTGCTGCGGCTGAGGGCCCCGTGCTCGGAGCTGCCCTTCCTGCCTTCCCACCAAGAGCCTGGCCAGTGACCACCGCCCCAGTCAGTCCCCAGGGAAAGACCTTGCCTTAGGGCAAGAGCCGGGTGGGGAAGGGGCTGCTAGAGCCAGGTGGCTGGGGACTACTGTATCTGTCCCTTTTATTACCAGCCTGACCCCCATCCCATTTCCCCCAGCCGGCCACACTCCTCTGCTTCTCAGCAGCTGTCCTGTCCCCTGCGAGTTTTCACGGAGGGCCCCTGATTCCAGGGTTCTGGTGTCCCTGTCCTCTCATTCCCCTTCCAAGGAGAGCACAGGCAACCAGGACTGCAGAAAGGGTCCTAAGCAAAACGGGGTACCCTCTTGGCCCTCAGCATGGCAGGAACCAGCCTGAGCCAAAGGCTGCGCCGACTGCTATTCTCGCCTGCCCTCCCCAAACTCTACACAACCGCCTGCACCCCACATCTCTCCTCACCTTCTGGGGCCCATCATCTCTCGCAACTAGACTGCCACACCTCCCCAGCCGGGTCCCTGGCCCTTCTGGTGCCGCCTCTCTGATTCTGTGCATGTCTGCTCACAGCAGGGGGATATAACGTCACACAGACTAATTCAATACAGCAGAGAAGGTGAGTTAGTGCGGGCATGTCCAGCTCAGAAGGCTGATGGCCTTTATTAGTTACTGTTTTGGGGGTTGCAATGCCTGATGCCAGCTTTTGTTTGATTACCCTGTGTGAAACCTTGGATATACCTCTGATACTGACTCCAATTATTAATCCTTCTCCACTCGCTTTCTGTACCCACTGCACCCCTGACCTTTGGGGCTGTGTGTGGAACGCCCTGTAGAGAACGGCCCCTGCGTGGTGGAAAGGATGGTGGGCTTGTCAGCACTTGAACTTAACCTATCCAGTATTCTTTCTTAGTTCTACAACTAGCCACCTCATTAAGCTTTCTTCCTGCCCCGTATCTCTAGTCTCCTGAGCTTAAGCTTGCCTGGTCCTGGAATCAGTGGCTTTCCATCCCTCTGCCAGGCTCTGAGCCAAAGCAAGAAGACTGAGGCTCTTTTGACTTCGAGAATGGAAACCTTAAGAAGCCAGACCCCTGAGTGTTTTTCTGGCTGGTTCGAGTCTCTCAAATCATGGATTGGGGTAGAGAAAGACAATGGTGTAACTAACCTGAACCAGGGAACTAGGGCCCTTGGGCTGAGAATAGAATCTCGAGCCTGGAGTAGGATCGGATTAGAGAAGCAGTAGGACGCGGCCCCATGATGCCTGGCCTCACCTTTCTCAGCAGAGTCCCCTGCTCGCACAACGAAAGGGAGGGCCTCACTCATCACATGTCATGGCACCTGGTCTCAAATCCCAAAGGGTTTGTTCCCTGTCCCTCACTGCCTTGCCCCATGAGCTCCGCTTGCCTGGGTCTCACTGTGTCCTTCTCCGTCTGCCTCCTGCTGCTTCTGTGACTGCAGACCCCAGGCCCAGTGGCAGGCCCCCGACCCAGCTGCTTCCCCATTGGAATAAACCCTTATTTCTCCACGCCGACGCTCGTCTCTAGTCTTCCTCCCTGCCTATCAGGAGCTGAGTGGTATCTCTGCCCTTATTCCCATACAGAGAGGAAATGGGAACGTGAGCCCCTCCCCAGGTGGACTCATCTGACCGGGGTCAGTCTAATGGGGAGCAATGGCCTTCAAACTCCTGCGCCCCCAGCTCACAGTGGGAAATACACTATACAGTGCACTCAGCACACACACATGCACACAGTGTCACAAAATAATACCTAGGCTGTGAGCCATGGATTCCGTTATTTTCTATTTTACTTTATTCTACCCTACTTCTTTCAAAAATGCCAGCCACAACCCACCAAAGGACTGCAGCCTACAATTTGCAAAACACTGATTTAGAGCACAGAGAACCAGGAGCAAATGGAACATAAATGGCCCAAGATATAATTCTGAACCTGCATCCAATTTTAAACGTCTGCTGTCTCACAGGCAATAATCCGTTTGGGGTGGGGGAATGGGAGCAAGGCCTGTGCAGCCACAGGATACTTGAAGGACTGAGCAGCGTGAGAAAACACTGTCCCAGCTGCTGCGGTAAATGGAGGAAAATCATCTCCGTGTTGCTAGGAACGTAAGGCAGACCAGACGGTCAAATATCCTGAAAGACCCCTGAAAACAAACAGTTTGCCATTCCTGTAATTACCAATGTCAATGGCTTGGAGTTGGGCCGGGGCAGATGGTGCTGAGGGTGGGGTGGAGCCCTTACCGCCACTGCTTCCCTGGGCCCGAAGCCTGGTTTCCGTAGCGTGCTGGGGCCATGCAAAAGGTTGGAGCTCCCTCCTCACAAACAAGTCTCTGTTTTCTACACAGTGAGAGTAGGGAGCTTGGGGGAGGAGGTGGCACATTCCAGATGATTTGGAACAAGGCCAGGGTCCCATGACCCTGCTGCTGTGATAGGTGAGCTCCATGAGGAATGGACAGAGAGTCAGTTTGTCTTTTTTTTTCACCAAAAAGACCGCGGAATCTACAGTTTGCAGTCACCTTAGGGTTGCCACCATCTTTCGTGCCCAGAGTGAAATCCTGCTCCTCTACAATATATATTCCCTATCCTGCCAATACCATGGACACCTTTGGGGGTGGGGGTGGGGCGGGGCTCAGAGGGGTGCTTCACCAGCTGCGAGGGCAGGTCCAGCTAGGGGGGATCCTGGAGGCTTGAGGGGGCGCGCTGTGCTGGCTGGGCCGGGCGGTAGAGGGTTTGGTGAAGCAGGGCACGGGTTGCAGGGAGGTCCTCAGGATCTGCAGGGCAGAAAGGGGCGGGTAAGAGGTTGCGGGTCTCCTGGGCACCCAGGCCTGGCTTTCCTGGTCCTCACCCACGCCCAGCTCCTGCAGCAGGCTGCGGTACTCCGGCTCAGCCTCCAGCAGTTTCAGCAGGTTGGTGGACTCCATCCGCTCCAGCTGCACCTCCCAGTACACGTAGATCTTCTGGTTGAACGTGACGTACACGAGGCAGGGGCTGTTGCGGCCCTCTTTGCAGGCGTACAGGCCTGGAAGATGTGGGCAGTGAGACAAAGGCCAAGAAGTTCCAGTCCCGGTTGTGGGCAATCAGAGAGCAAGACACAGACCTCAGAGTCAGCACTTTCGGCCCCCCACTGCCATCAGGCAAAGAACCAAAGGCCCTCTTTCTATTTCTTCCTTTGTTGGGAAGCCAGTAAAATACGTAAGACGTGAAAATCTCTGTCCCATTCCAGATATGGAAAAAGCATAGTAACAAAAACCAGGCAGGGAGGAGGGGATGGGTATACAAACACCTAATGGGTGCGGTGCGCACCGTCTGGGGGATGGACACGCTTGAAGCTCTGACTCGGGTAGGGCAAAGGCAATATATGTAACCTAAACATTTGTACCCCCATAATAGGCTGAAATTTTTAAAAAATGGCAAAAAAAAAAAAAAACCTAGGCAGAACAGCATCCAAAAAGGTGATATTTGTTGATTTTCCCATCTTAGTGATATCTCTGGAGTAATGAGGGACAGCCTTGCTAGTCCAAGGGGGCGGGTAACACAGTGTGGTCGGAAAGTAAGGCTTCTCTGAGGTGTTGCTCTCTTCTTCCAAGGAGCATGGACTAACCTTTCAGGTCACCGGAGTGTGCACTCCAGAGCACCGCTCGGTTCTTCTCATTTTTAGTAACCAAACACATCCCCTAGTCACCCAAGGAGTCAGTGCTGCCTTCCAAGGTCCCTGATTTAGAACTAATGAAAATGCTCTGGCAGAATTTTCTTAAGAGAGTTCTGGCATGCTCAGATGGAAAAGAACTTCCTGATGTCTTCACACATCCCAGACAGAGATGACAAGAACTCATTCCGTCCTTTAAAATATTCAGAGATGGTGAACTCATTGCTTTTTATTTCTTCTTATTTAAAACTGTCAAGATGGCAACGTAGCACCCACCCATCACCCTCAAAGGAGAGAGCTGGGGAACCTATGAGTTCTTGAAGACTTGCATTGGGGATCCGTCGAGTGGCACTGAGAGGCAAACATTTATCTAACATGCTAACACGCTATCCAACTTAAGTGTGTGAGAGAGGGGGCCTGGGGCAGGGGTCCCACCTGCGCAAAAGGCACGGATATTTTCATCCACTTGGAAGCGGACGACAGTGCGGTTGTGATCGATAATGTACGTCTGTCCATCCCAGGCACAGGCAACCACCTCCTCGTGCCCGTTGCCCTGAAAAAGAAAGGCCAGAGACAAGGCCGTAGGAGTGGCAAGGAGTCGCTGTAGAAAGAGATTTGATGATGGCAGCTGGATGAATACAAAGGAGCTACGTACTTGACTCTCACTGACAAACTGCGAGCTGGGGAAGAACTTTTCCCACGTGGTAGGCCAGAAGGGGCTGTCGAATGAGGCACTGTGCATAATGCTCACAACAATCCTGGGGAGGTGGCGTTATCATTCCCAATGTCATCCAGCATACCGACATAAAGTCACTCACCCAAGGACCCTCAGCCAGGAGGCAGCAGAGTAAGGACTCAAACCCAGCCCATTCCACCTGCCTTCAAAACCTCATGCCCCTAAAGCATCAAGCATGCATCGGGGTGGCGCCCACCTGCTGATTCACAGGCCACTGTGCGATTAAACAGGCGCACTGTTTTCTTTTTCACATATTGAAAAGAAAAACTTTGAAACATACGTCTGCAGTTGGGACTAATAACTCACTTTTAGACTCTAATAGTAACTCGTTTTTCTTTGGGGCTATTACTTCTACTGACAGGTATAGAAATGATAGATTTTCCATCAGCACAGTATGGTGTTAAACACTGCAAAGTAAAGAGGAAACAAATTCACGTCAGATGGATTTAGACCATCTGAATGTGTTTCCTCTTACTCTGCATCTCTGAAGAGACGTAAGATAAAGGTTGGGAGTCAACTGGGATGTGAGAATGGCCTATTTTAAATCTCATCTCGTCTGGGAAGGAGGCAAGAATGCTCTGCTCTACCAGGTTTTCCACTCACCGTGACATCTAATTTCTCCAGGGCGAAAAGCTGGTGATCCACTTGCACTGACCAAAGCAGCTTGTCTGCCTCCTCCATAAGCTTCAGTGTCCCTGCGGGGCAGACGCAGGCTGGGGGTGGGTGGCACAGGCCCAAGCAGACCCCATAGGCATAAAACCCCCACCCCATCCCAGCATTACTCACCATCCAGGGTGCACAGGGCAAAAAGGCCAGAGCCACCACTCTCAGGGCTGTGGCCTGTGGGTAGGACGGAAGGCCCAGAAGAAAATGTGAAGGGCAGGGCAAGATCAGAGTGATGAGAAGAGGGGCAGCCAACAGCAGGGTGGGACCAGACATGAGGGAAGGGCCTGGCTCTCTTCTCCTCCAGAGCTGCTGCTGCCCGCCAGCTCCCTCCCTCACTCCCACCCCACCTTCACCTTGTTTGATGTTGCCGATCAGGTGAGTGGAGACATTCTTGTTGTGGATACGGCCAGAGGTCTGGTGCAGCGCCACATCTCGGGCAGCTGGGGTCTCCCTGTGGGCAGGAGGGTAGGGAGGCCAAGCTTGAGGCCCAGTGAGCTGAGTTCTCCAGGCTCTTTGTGGCTGCTATCCGTGCAAGAGCTTTCCGGATTTGAATCAGCTTGGAACCTACTGCTGACCCCCTCTGGCCCATGGGCAAATAGAATAGAGAGGGATGGGGCTGCAAGGTTGGAATCTCAGAACCTCTTTCAGGTGCCGTAAGGCTAAAGGCCAGGAATCCCCGGGTCCCAGAATAATCTTCCTTAATGGGGCAGAGGTGCCCAGGCTGGGAACTAGATGCAGCAGTCTGTCAACTGCAGACCCATCTCACTACCATGTGCCACCTGGGAGCCCATCTTGCTTCCATGTAACCCTAGAGGCCTGTACGCCCTTACCTACTGCCCTCTGTGGCCCCCTCAGAGGAAGGAGGGGACTTAGTGTCCTTGTTCCAGGTACACAGTAGAATGGCATAAGCACAGCCTGGCTGAGATACCATCAGTTCGGGAACACCCAGAGGCCCTGGAGTCACTGAGAGACTGTCCACCTGCACCAGGAAACCAAGGCTTAAAGGGGGATGGAGAGACAAGGAAGTAGGACCCTGCAGAGAATAGAGGAGAGGTGGGGCAGGGGCTCTGGGCACAGCCTCCAGGCTTCAAGGGTAGCAGCAGGATTCTCGCGCTCACAGGGCTCCTGGCTGGCGCCGTCCTCTCCACACGACCATCTGCTTTCCCCCGTGCATGCCCAGCTAGGGTCCAGATCCACACCCCCCTTCACACTCCTCATTCTTACCCCAGTTCCTTCCTCTTTGCCTGCTGCTAGCAATTTCCTAAGACCCTGGTTGGAAATGATCTCTTCGGATGTCTCTCAACAGGGTGACTTTCCCTCCCTCCCACCCTGGCCGTGTCCCACGGCTGTTCTCCCACAGGCTCCTCCAGGAAGCCTTCCTCCCGGCTCCCTGGGCGCCTGAGACCCCACACTCAGCCTCTCACCTGACCCTCCAGCATCCATTTCTTGAGGGACACCAGCTGCCCTGTCAGGTGTTCAGGGCCCTCACCTAGCTCCTCCCAGCGGAAAGCCCGCACCACACGGTCCGTGTAGCCCACCACCAGCTCGCAAAGCCCGTCTCCATCTGCGGGCAGAGAATGAGACGGCTTTGGAGTCCCACACGCAGCCCCACTGGCACTCTGTAGCCAGTGTAGCTTCACGCCCGACGTGCCGTGCTCTACTCACCTGACACACCCTGAGTCAGCCACCTGCCCCTGCCTCTCCTCGCGCTTGGAACATGCCACCTGTTCACCTATTCCGCGGCTTCCATCTGCCCTCTGCCCTCAGACATGCAACGCGACCGCGCTGAGTCGTGCTGTACACCTGCCACCTGCAAGTTCCCCGTCTGCCTTGCTCATCCTCTTGCCACCTTCGGTTTTTTAGCGAATAGCACCTGCTCAGCAAGGACTTCCCTGACAGCTCCCCTGGAAATCGCGACTTCTACCTCAGCGCTCTCTAGCCTTTTCCGTGATTTATTTTCTCCACAGCACCTACTACCTTCTGATATACTATTTAATTTCCTTCAAAACTGATATTGTTTCTTTCCTGTCTCTTCTTAGTAAGGTCCAAGGGCAGCGATTTTTGTCTGCTTTATTCACTTTGCAATCCCAGTCCCTAGAGTAATGCCTGGCTTATAATGGGAGCTCAGTAACTCGACATTAAATACATCACAAGTGCACAAACGAATATGAACTCTCCCCCTCACCCCAACCCTTGGGATGTGCCCTAGTGCCCGCTGACTCCGACTGTCCTGGTTGCCTGCAAAGGTAGCCATGCCCACCGATGTCGCTGATCAGCATGACCTTGGTGTTGGCAGGGATGTGCTGCTTGAAGACTGGACGCTGCTCCTCCCCCGTTAGTGTCTCGTGGTGTCCAGAGGCATCCAGGACCTTGGCAGGTGTCAGGTCAAACAAGTGAAACCAGCCTTCAGCACTCACCGCCACCAACAGGTTCTGGGAGAGACAGAGGTGGCCCGGGGAGGGAGGTTTGGGTATAATCCTGATAATTACATCACAGGGGTCAACCCTCAGCTGATTTCCACTTGGAGGTGGGGACCAAGGTAAGGCCTCGGAGTTCCACCAAAGTCCCAAGGTCCCCTAGAGTTCTTACCTTTCCTTTATTACATACATCTCCAACCCCAACGCAAGTCAGCTGTAAGAGAGAAAGTGAGGCTCAGGGAGACACCGAGGAAGACTGGTACTCCCTGATCCCTGCGGCGTGACAAGGGGTGGGTTTTCTAATTACCGTCATTCACTGAAAACTTGTGCATGTGACCTACATTGATGTTCTTTATTAATTCAGTCACTGTGATACAGGTTCTGTTTACCCACACGGCAATATGAAGCCCCAAGACAGTTAAGACAATTTGAGCTTAAAACAAAACAAAAACCCAGTATCTAATATAGCTAGACTATCATATTTCTAGGCTTATTCAAATTATTGTCCCCGTTTTTGACTATATTTTGTAAGATCAGACAAGCGTAGGCAACTTCCAGTAGTACCAAGGGTATTTTACAACAGAGGAAACACCCAGGCTTGTGTTCGTGTATGTGGGGAGACAGATGGGAGTGCCGCCTGGGGGCTGCCCTCCCCGAATCAAATTAGCCAGGAAGCAGTGGCTGGTTGAGTAGCTGGGGAGTCAGGACACACTAGTGAGCTCCTGTGTGGGGCTCACCCTTGGCAGAACCTGGACTTCTTCCCTCAAGGCCCAGGGAGGTAGATACTGACCATTCCCTGGCAGGAACAGGTAAGCCATGGCCGACTGTCATCATTCTTATACACAGACAGCTTCCCGCTGGTGTCTCCCACCACTAGTTCATTTAACTTCAAACAGAGAGAGAAGAGAGTGTTAACATGGGGTCCTGCTGAACCACTGCCAGCTCTTCTCTACTTGGCCTAACCTGGAAAAATCATAAGACCTCAACTCGTATCTTTATCAACTTTATTAAAAAATTTTTGAGACCAGCATAGCCATAGTTTCTCAGAAGTTCTTTATGTCCATTTAGGGGTGGGTGTGTGCATCGGAGGCAGGAGAGGTTGGAGGGATGGGGGCTACACAGAATCTATGATACATCTCAGGGAAGTCTGACACCTGAGCAGTTCTGTGCCCCACATGCCTGACTTCAGCTCTTCTAATTTGATCATTACAAATGGACATGTTTTGAAAACAGCCCAAGACAGTGGACTTTTGGAGAATCTAACTTCAGACTTTGTATTTAATTAGGGTCCAAATAAAAAGACAATGCCAGCTCTTGGGGCCCTCCTGCCTCTAGCCAGGCCTTTGGATCTCGCGTGCATGTGGGAACACACAGGGCATGGTGGGGCCTGAGAAGGGGTTGCTCCGCACTCCGGGCCTCTAGTGCCCCCAGGCGGTGGCTAAGGTCTCAGGAGGGATGCTCCCTGCATAAAGGCCTTTGTCCATTTGTGTCCGGGCAGCTGCCCTTTTCAGGGGCTAAGGATGAAAACCAGGTGGCTTCAAACCCTACTTCTGCAACAGCTTCCTGATTTCCTCTTGGAGGTACAGCCAACCTCCCCTTCCTGCCCCCAAAATAGACTGAACTAATATTAGACTCTCAAGAGATTTAATTCTAAAAGACACAAGGAGATAACAGATCAATAGTAAGGAAACGTTAGAAACAAATTAGGATTTATTAATAGTGATTTATTTGAATCTTTGATTTCTTTTTTAATAGGGGAGTTTCTGGTGAGAATATTAGATTATAGAAGTATAGAACAAGTTTATTGACGTCAAACCCTCTACACCTGATGTTTCAGTTGTGGCACCCGAAAGAACTCCTGCAGGCACCCAGGGGAGAGGCTGCATGGTGTAGAGGTTCAGAATGCAACTGCCTGGATTTGAATCCAGCTCTCTCTGCCTAAATTTTTTCGTCTATAAAATGAGAATGATGAGTATGTACCTCAGAAGGTGGTTGTGAGAATCCAGCTGACGGAGGAAAGCAGTTGGAGCGGTAATTGGCATATAGGACTAATACCAGCTGATTTTTTAGCCTCTAGTTAAACTCCTCCAAGGCTGGGGAACTTAGCATCTTTCATCCAATTCAATTTTTTTTTAATACATTCATTCAATGAATGCCATAGTACACAGTAGGCCCAAGATAAATGTTTGGTGAATGAACAAATAACAAAAAAGATTTTTCTAAGAAACAAAAGTCAGAATGAAAGAGAATGTCCAGCCCAGCAGTTTTCAGGTAAAACTGGACAATCAGTTGGGGGTATAAAGATAAATGCCACAGGCTCCCTGCTGAGAAGACCCTCACACTTTAACAGGTGCACTGACACAGGAATAAAACCATAAAACAGTGTCTAAGCGCAGCGAGCACGTAGATGGGCACAGCCAGGCAGAAGGCGAGGCAGCGGCAGGCCTCCTGGAAGAGGACATTTCCAGGGCAGCCCACTTGCTTCCCACCAGCTCTAATTCTCTGTGGCTGAGCGTGGCTTTGGCCTATGGAGGTCATTCGGTGACACTAAAGAACCCCAGCTGAAGAGTACACCATCAGTCAGAAATGCTACAGGAGGTGGCTCACACCTGTAATCCTAGCACTCTGGGAGGCCGAGGTGGGTGGATCGTTTGAATTCAGGAGTTCGAGACCAGCCTGAACAAGAGCAAGACCCCGTCTCTACTAAAAAAATAAAAAGAAATTAGCTGGACAACTAAAAATATATAGAAAAAATTAGCCGGGCATGGTGGCACATGCCTGTAGTCCCAGCTACTTGGGAGGCTGAGGCAGTAGGATTGCTTGAGCCCAGGAATTTGAGGCTACTAGGCTGATGCCATGGCACTCGAGCCCAGGCAACAGAGTGAGACTCTGCCTCAAAAAAAAAAAAAAAAGAAATGCTACAGGAAAAAGAAGGTGAGATGTTTCCATGATCTGCTTCAGCCTTCCGCAGGCTTTCTCTTCCCAGGTGTAGCCAGGTTTCAGTAGGCAGTCCTAGAGCATGTGTATCTTATTTCTGGCTTCTTAATAAATCAGTTTCAAAGAACTTTAAGCCAACGGTTTATTAGGCTGAAATCAGTGTTTTTCCTGTTCCCAAATCTCCAAATGTTGGCTTTGGGAATTACTAACAAAATTTCTATCCATACTCATGTGAGCCAAGTGTACCACACCCTGATCACTCACCAACTATCACACTTACTTGCCCTCTTTCAATTATATTTACTAATAACAGGCAAAGCTTTGAAATACATATGCTTTTTATAATAATCCTCATTTATTCAAAAACCATTTATTGAGTGCTTGCTATCTATGTGCCAGGCACTGTACTAAGTGCTGGGAATACAGCAGTGAAAAAACAGATTAAAAAAATTCCAATCCTTATGGAATTTAAAATAATGGAGCTTACAACTCAGGTGAAAAAAAAGGTAGTATAATATACCTAATATTCCAGAACTGGGTGTGTAACTGTGCAATTCACTTAGAGAAGTACAATTTCAAAAAAGCTACTGTATAAAGTTATGAAAAAAGTATTTTCTCTCTTTTTTTGGAGACATCTCTCACTCTCTTGTCTGGCTAGAGTGCAGTGGCATCATCATGGCTCACTGAAACCTCAAACTCCTAGGCTCAAGCGATCCTCCTGCCTCAGCCTCTCAAGTAGCTGGGACTATAGGCATGTGCCACCTACCTGGCCAATTTTTAATTTTTTTGTAGAGATGGGGTCTCGTATGTTGCCCAGGCTGATCTCAAATTCCCGGACTCAAATGATCCTCCTGCCATAGCCTCCCAAAGTGCTAGGATTACAGGGATGAGCCACCACACCCAGCTATATTTTTCTCTTTTAATTGAAGAGGGCAATCAGGTAAAATAGAAAATAATGTACATCTAAAGTCACTTTGTTAATTTACTGTTTAAAAATGCCTCCCTTGGTTTTCTAATAAATTGTACTACTTGGCATATGAAGAAACGTGAAAGCCCAGAAAACATAATACAAATTTACGAGAATAACTCTTACCTCCCTAGAGGAGGTAAAGCCAAAAGAGGCCTCATAAAATACCTTCTCCCTCACATTAGGGAGAGTGGGAAATGAGGATGCTTTAGCCCTTATATTTTGTGGGAGGAAAAGAGCATAAAACAGTTGGGGAGGAGAGGATGAAAAGTAGGGAGGCAGAGTAGAGAAATAGGGCAGAGGTGAGCAGAGCAATACGGTGCTTTGCATTAAAAATTATGAAATGGATAATGAATGAAAGATAGTCTGGAAAAAAGAGCATTTGACACCATCTCCTTTAATGACACCAGAGAATCCTCTACATATTTTAATCAACGTACCTCATTATATTGTCATTCTTGTGACTATCACCCACCTGACCATTTTTTAATTCTCAGAATGTAGCAAGAGTCCTGGGCACACGATGAGCAGTTCAATAAAGATTCTATAAATGGAATCGAATACTAACAACTACAGTGCTAACACTTACTGACCATTAACTGTGTGCCAGGCATTGTTTTACCTCGTTGATCTGTATTAACTCATTTAAACAACGAGAAAAGGAACGACTGCTAAGGAAAGAAAAGGTAGGTGGACAGTGTTTTTGTAATTCAACAAAGGTGTAGCACTTTAAAGTTGCCAGACACCTGCATCTACTATGAAGCAGGCACTGTAGAAAACTGACATTATTAAGACGGGGATGGTGGGGTCGAGTGTGGCCTCGGCCAGAGGCGCCCCAAGACGAGAGGCCAAGACGGGAGGCGAGCCAGAGAAACACATCAACCTGCTGCCGCGCACCGGGCCAAGTTGACCCGCAGCGGCGGTGCGTTTTCAGCCTGTGTTAAGCACGGAGGGAGTGTCTAATTCTCTGAGGGTAGGAAAAGGGTCAGAGAAGTCTTCGGAGGAGCGGAGCCATAGGCACAGCGGTATTATTATTTCCAATTTACGACTGAAAAAAGAATTATCTTTCCAAGGTAAAGTGATTTAAGAAGCGAAGTCACTGAAGGCGGCTTAACTCAGAAGCAGTAATCCAGGAAACTTGGCCAACTAGAGCTTACCAGGCTCCCACAGTGAATAAGTTACTGAATTAGGCAGAGGGACCAACTACCTGTAACGCTAAAAAAAATACTTCCAGGATACCAGACCAACTAATCCGGTGACGATGTGCGGACACTGAGGCCATCAGCAAAATTTTTCTCACAGCCCGCCACGCTAGCGCCAGCGCGCATGCGCCCTGCTTACGCGGCACGCTAGGGCGGCTTCCGCCCCGGCCTCGCTCCGCCCCAGGCCGCCCTGCGCAGGTCGAGGCTGCGTCTCTCGCAGTGCGCATGCACTCACCGTGTCGTTGTCGACGTCCCCGAGGCAGATTGCGTGCGGGAAGAGGCTCCCGCTAAACTCCAGCGCGACGCGCTGCACGTAGCTAACCGATCTCATGGCACTTCCAAAGGCCGAGGGATCGGGGACGCTACTTAATGTTCCCCGAGCCCCCTCCCGACAGCCGCCGGAGCGGAAGGCCACCTAAAGCGGAAAGTTGCGTCACCGCCTGAACCTTCCTCGCTTAACCTTAGAGAGGAGGCGGGTCTTCCGAGGCTAGGGGCGGTCTTCTGCAGGACTGATGTGACTGACAGTGCCACGGGCCAGTCCTTTTCGCTGGAGGGATGGCGCTCAAGTGTAGACCAACCCTGACGTGACCGATCTGTTGCCTTGGCAACAGGGCTCTCTAGGGCTTGACCTGATAACCTTGACCCGTTCCTTTGTTACCCTGGCGATGAAGATTCCTCGCCTTCAGACTATCCATGAGAGTCATATTAATAATGGCAATGAGCAATCCCATTAGTGGGCATCTACCCAAAAGAACAAAAGACATTCTATAAAAAAGACATCTGCACTCCAATGTTTACAGCGGCACAATTCACAATTGCAAAGATGTGGAAACAACCCAAGTGTCCATCAATACATGAGTGGATTAATAAAATGTGGTATAAGTATATCATGGAGTACTATTCAGCTATAAGAAACAATGGTGAGGCCAGGCGTGGTGGCTCACGCCTGTAATCCTAGCATGCTGGGAGGCCAAGGCGGGCGGATTGTTTGAGCTCAGGAGTTC